GTAGTAAATGAATTATGAGGCAGTAACATTTAGGACCATAAAAGCACATATGATGCCACAACTATCGAAGTGATATAGAAGGGTAAACAGCTATTTTTTCAGAACACTAATTGTGTAGTTAGGTTTCTTGGTCTGCGAATTTGAAATAATATTCATTTTGTCCCCGGATGGCTGATTCTATCTTAGTTTAAGTAGGCATTCTAGTTCAAGTTGATTCCGATTCACAAGCTTCAACAAAATGAATGCACCACATTACCTGGAGATTCACTGTGAGGGATATTGACATGTGAAATTGTTTGCATAAGCATTTATTCGTTAGCCTGCTGGATCATTCTTTATTATGCCATCGTAGACCTACAAAGTGTGTTTTTCTACTCGCAGTCCCGATAAGATGATATCGGAGTGAGAATATGTGTCAGCCTCGCGCGAACATACAGTAGGTTTTTTCACCGCAAGCGCCTAATTAGTGTCTAGGTTAAAAGAACAACTGATATTAAGAAGAAGTGCGCACGGGACAAACATAGTGTTTAATAGTCTGAAAATTCAGATGAAGTTATGAGTCGTTTAAACCGTAATTTCATCTTTGTTATCTTCAGATTGTTTTGATTTATTTTGATTGGTATATATTTAGGTCGATGCCGTAGGCTTTATGATATTGCTAACGTTTTGGTCGCTCTTGGATTAATCAAAAAGGTTCACTACCTGTTTGGAACTAAGAAGATCCCATTGTTCGTCTACTGTGGTCCTGAGCCAAATGGTAATTTTTCTTATTCTAAATAGAGGTTTGAAGTAAGTTCTGAATAAGTTTTTTTGCAGAGAATTCTACATTTGATGTAAATGCTTGCATTGAACGATTGTCAGCATCCACCTGTTCTACACCAACCACCCCGCAGATGAAGGTGCTCATTGTTCATTTGAAATGTCTATGCAGTGCACGACCACAATTTTTTCGTTTTACGGTAAAATCATCAAAACACAACATAAGTATGTCTTCAACGGTTCATTACACCTTGCAGTGGGCTTCCTTCAAACTATGCGAAAAATTTAAAAGAATTATATATAAGTATCTAGTCACAGAGGCAAACCCGCTTTTTTTGAATACATTTTCTTGCTCTTGCAGTATCTTATATGCGAGTTCAAACCATGAAACATGTGCAATAACCAATTTTTTTGAGAAAAGATGCTTCATAGCTCTCTTGTGAAGAAAGAATCTTACAATCAATACTAATATATCGCCTGCCTGCCAAGATTGCACGGTCTGACGCACTTTTGCGCTGTTGCTTGCCTACACGCTTAGAAAATTTCTAAACTTTATACCTTTAACCATAGTAAATGCATCAGAATGACTGCAACTCATTTATATCCAAGTTAATCGCTGTCGTCAACCGTCAAACGATGGGATATGTCCACGTTCCTGTTTTTTGAATCTTGGCCGAACACTTGTAGTTCAGCTGATCAATGGAACAAGATTGATCCTTTTGGCTAACGTTTTGGAGCTCTCGTCTTCATCAGAGCTTAGAAAGTCAGATACTTCAGCGACCTATTCTCTCAGACGAAAGCAAATGGCTCTGGATAAAAGTGAATTAGACGATATGAACCCATGGTGTAGCAAATTTCGCCTTTTTCATCCTATCTAGATGTTCCTCATCGCGTCTGCAGAGAGTGCGCTCAGTCTCGCCAGTGTAAGTATCTCCGTCTGATAAGCTATGATAAGATAAATAACATCGAAGACTACCACCTCCTCTACCATGTGGGCAGATTACACAGCGTGAGGTCAAACAGTTAAGATGTACACGCGATTGTGAACTAGCTGCCGCTTAAGGTTTGCGGTCGAAATATCGACTACTTAAACAGCGTTGTAAAGACCCGCCTAACGTACGCAACGCTTTTCCGCCCTGCTCATTTTATGCCAGTTGAATGGTGACCGATGGGATCTTTTTGGCGTTGTCGGCTGGATCACTCCTGCGGCTTAAAACCTTGTGGGTCCTGAAAACAAAAACATCTCAATCCCAAATACTCATTAGACTTTGCAATGGCGAGCATAACTTACAAAAAGATCGCTCCTGGCCACTTGTGAGCCGAGCAGCTGTAATGCGCACTCCTTCTATGGAAACTTTCATTTTGGTGAGGTGCGCGGGGAGGTTATATGAAAGGATATTTCTGCTGTTGGGCTTACTATACCACTTCGTTTTGTATCCCTTTCTTGATCAGCAAACTTGCCATACAAGAGCACAGGCAAA